TGCGGTTGACAGGCGTTGTTGTGTGTTTAGGTAGGGTGCCTTGAAGGCGCGTCCGTAAGGTTGATTCTGCCACACCAAAGGCTGCTGCAAGAGCACGTTTAGATTGAGAAGGGTTTCTTTGAAAGGTAGCAATAGCAAGGCTTGAACGACCTTCTTTTGAAGACCCTATAGGTGGTGGTTGTGGCATCATAGTAGATGAGATGAGACGCGCTGCACGCGTTCTGGTGGGGTGCGCAGGATGGTGGTGTGCGCAGCTTGCTGGTAAAACACGTTATTATGGTTCTCGAAATACCAGTTACCACCTGGATCAGGGTAGGATCGGCTCGGTTATGATGCACTACCACCGTATAAGCTCCAAATCTCGTGCAAATCTCCAGAATGCAAGGCCTTAGTACGATTAATTAATCGCCTTAGAAATTTATAGGTATTGACTCTTGCTTAGCATGCAGAGGGGTGTGAAGGTTCACAGATTTGATGAGGGCGCTAGATCTTGAGGCCTTGGCTAAGCTTGGCGTGTATACGCAGGCAGCATAGGACGTACTCCTGCGCAGGATCGACCTATGCCAGATCCAGGTGGTAACTGGTATTTCGAAAAACACCCATAGTGATGCACTTTGCTTACTTATCGCGAACATGAACAGAACATCACTTCCCGAGAACCTCGACTTCTCCGTCCTTTCACCAACCGCGACTGCATCGACTAGGCTGATGTAGACATCTGAGTGAGACGTATATCCTGCTATTGATATAAATTTAAAGTCATCTTATCTCTTTGCTACCTGCAAGTCGCTGTGTAATTGCCTTACAGTAGATATATCTGAAATATACGATAGTGAGTAGACAGTCCAGCTTCGTTGTTCGCTATGTCAAGTAAGCATCATTCAAATGACTCTGAGATCTTAATTTTTAGCAAATCCGAATATCTTCTTCAACCTCAACCATGGCTCAGAATCGTCTTCTCTTCAGCTTTTCAGGTTTGCCCGTTCTTTTTCACGAGCTACTGTCAAAACTATGCTCTCTCTTCTCGATGTATGGTCATGAACACACGTATCCTATGCTACTGACGATACGACTTCAAACACTCATGTTTCGCTTCTCGCATTCAGCAGCCGATTTGCTGTGCAGTTGGCGATCGACCCATCTCAACGACTTGCGGTGCACCGGGAACAAACAAAGTAGTGTAAGAGTATGTTGCAGGCCTATATAACCTCCGGTTTACTTTCGTATACGTGAGGGTTTCGCATGCCCGACGTGGGTTGCACTTTGGCAGGAGCGGAGCCCCGCCAAAGACGGTATCGCCAATGGTGACCATTCAGCAGCGTAGCCACGTGAAGAGTGGTAGGCCAGAGGGCCCCATTTGGAACCACCTGTCATAGACGCGTGATGAACGCGCGTAGCCTTTCTCGACGCGCTTCACCTCCCGACGTCAAACCTCAGGATTGTTCCATCAGCCCTCAAGTAGTCCCAATGGCGAAACCGAAGTTAGAGTCCAGGCCTAACCACAAAATCACGACTTTCTTCGCGAAGAAGCGACAAACGGACGACACAGACCTCAAAGACATCGCGCCCGTAGCGAAGCGCGTCGCAGTCGAGGCAGCGTCCCCTTCTATCCTGAAAGACATCACGAATACAAGCGAACAGACCTCTATCGCAAGTGTAACCATTGGAAAAGTGCTGCCGCTCATCTCTACCGACGACGATGTCTTTGTGGCAGATTCGCATATCCTACGAGGCAGTGATTTCGTGGCTACAGCAGGGCCTGTC